CAAAATCCCTACCATGCCACCTGATTACATTCACTGCTTCAGCACGTCCCAATCCATGGAATGTCATTTTTTTTTTATTTTTTTCATTTATACACAGCACAGCGGCCAAGAAATCATAACGGACTATATTAAGAATCTCCCTACTCAAGTTACATAGGAGGCACAACATCGGCCACCTTGAAGAGAGACGACAGGGGTTATTGACACGAACTCTATGGTTTATGAATTTTAATTTTTAACAAAGTTTTAAGACTTTAAAACAACTTTAAATATTTCTATAACCAGAAAGGCTGCTGTGACTGATAGATGGAACATCATGTACTTGGTTGGACATTACATGTGTATTTGATATGACAACTGTTGTGATAGTGGTTCCTAAAAAGTGTTTGGTGCCTCTGAAGATGATCCAAATGGATCAAAATATGTAAGGCTAGTGAATCATCAAGTGAGAAAACTGAAATAGTCACATTGGACGGACTTGTCTTTTATAATTGCATGGAATGCCAGTTTTTATCCTTGTGTTTCTGCAGAGCTTTCTCTGCCACTTCTTTGTTTACACCTTGAACATAAGCCTCTCCCTTGCTCCTTCCTGTGTTTCCAGACAATAGGGAAATTCTATTGGGTACTATCTCCAGCCCTACCCAAGAAATTCAATTTTGCTGGAGTGACTGTTGCATTTGTAAGTCATTTGGCACAGATGAGGCACAATGGAATAAAACAAATTGAATCACCAGTCCATGTAAAGCTCATTAATAAGTAACTTTCATTATAAAGACAAACCTTTTATGTGTATGTTGTTACAATAGTGCAGTGAAATTTGTCAGAGGCTTGTGATATTTTGTCACTACCCCCAACAGAATTGTCTGTGTGCCTAGGACTAAAGTCCCCCTACTTTGTTACATCCCTCCTCTTCAAAAATCGTCACATAGGACTGTCAGATATTTGTGTAAGACACAAGGGTTAATAAAATATAAAATAGAATATCGTAATAGATAACTAACACAAAAAAAAAGGAGAACTTCACAACGCTTCCAACCTAAAAATTCGACCTTATACAACGTTTACAAGAAGCATATGCAGTATTCCTCCATGACAGTGTTGCTAAGAACCAAATTCCCATCCCCCATTCTTGCCTGTCTTCATTCGCTGCACCCTCCTATACAAGTAACCACTAAAGAATGAAAATGACTACAATGAACTATTTATTTCAATGTTGGCACACTTATTTCCAATTAATTTAAATACTAATTTCTATTATGTTATAAAGATCATTGAAATGGTCAAATAACTTGTTTAAATACTGAATACCCATAGAAAATTTTAATGAGAAAAAAAGGATATAAGCAAATATTTTTTATGTAAGTTGTTAACTCCAAATGTAGGAAATGGATAGCTTTAGTGATTGTTATGAATATAAACACACATGAATGTGAAAACTATATATATATATATATATTGTGACATGTCTTCAGTAACTAAAACACGTTACAATATATATATTCCCCCCCATGATTTCTTGCTCAACCCTGGGGTCCCAGGGAGACCCCAGTTGAGAAAGCTGCTTTAACAGAAAACTATTGTTAGAATCAAGGCAGGTAGGTGCAAAGAACAAATAACTATTTAAAAGGCTCAATGTACTCTTTCTAGCTAGGTAGTGTTTATTGGCTGTAAGAAAATTTCCAATCAAATACTTGGAAGTGTCTCAGAAATATTCAGAATTCCATACAGTCAGTACAAAACATAAGCTTGATCTTGACTACAGTCTACAAGAACAGAGTATATACAACATGTTGGAACAAAACTTTATACCCATCTTGCACAAGAAAGTAAATGTTGTTACCCAACAATAAGCAATTCAAAATATCACAATTGTTCTGATTCAGAATTTCTAACTTGCAGATAAATTAATTCCTATTACAAGCAAGTGCGACTTCACCAGTCATTCATTGGTCAGAGCACCACATAGATAACATGCTTCAGCCACATGGGATTAAACTAGTGCAGCAAAATTCTAAAATACAGTTTCTAATAAGTTTTTGACTCTATGTAAACATGTGCCTGATTGCAACAAATTTCTGTACCTATATTTGCATATGTGGACTGTATCCAGGTGTGTAGCTTGTAGCCTGTACTGCTAAGATGTGTTAGGCTAATTGTAGTTATGTGTCTGATTGCAGTGCATAAACTTATATGTACTTGCTGTCTCTGAACATACAGCAAAATTGCTATAGAGTTACTCAGATTGTGGCTGTGTGATTGAGTCTGTTACGTTTTCCAAATGTGTTGTGTTGTACTCTGGCATAACCCTATAAACCTTTTGTCCAGAACTGGTGGGATACAGATGTGTCTACCTACCTGTCTCACTGGCAACGATGATTTTCAGAAACTTTGGCTCAACTCATTGTGTTCTGTCTTGTCTTCTCAGTTCATTGTAAACCTGACTGGCTGTGTCAGCAGGTCTGATGTTTTTGAGGATACTAAAAAATTCTCTCACTGCAGTCTGTGTTCACTAGCTTCAGCTTCAGCATTAATCTCAGAGAGACAGCAAAATGTTACAGGGATACAGAAAAAGCATTAGAATTTAAGAACAGAGGTTTCATGTTGTGGTAAAATAACAAGTATGGGGATATTTTATTAGTTATGTGGGGATAATCTGAAAAATATAAGATGTGAAACCAGCAGGCATTTTAGGAATAAAAAGAGGGAATAACTGAAAGAAAGAATTGATGAGCTTGCAAAGAATAGTAACTAACTAACTAACTCACTCACTCACTCATGGAGCTGAGCCACAAATTATTCAGATACTCAAGAGCATCCCAGCATTTTATGGAGTCCAAATGTTCATTACCGCGTTCACAAGAGCAGTCCACTGGTCTCTTTCCTGAGCCAGATCAACCCAACCAATAACATCGCACCCTATCTCTCCAAGATCCGTTTTAATATTGTCCACACACCTATGCCTTGGTCTTCCCAGTGGTCCCTTTCCATCTGGTTTTCCCACCAATATTCAATATACACTCCTCTTCTCCCTCATTCATGCTACATACCTTGCGCATCTCATCCTCCTTGACTTAATCATTCTAATTATACTTGGAGAAGAGTTCAAGTTATGAAGCTCCTCATTATGCAGTTTTCTCCAATCTCCTGTCACTTCATCTCTCTGTATAGAAGAAAAAATGAATTGAAGATGAGTTATCAACCTAGAAGTAACTTAGTGAAGGATGTGAATGGTGTTCTACTTGCATATTCCCACAACATTCTGAATAGATGGAAGAAGTAGTTCTCTCAGATATTGAATGTACATAGTGTCAGTGATGTTCAGCAGGTAGAAATACATACAGCTGAGCCGTTAGTATATGATGCTAGTCTGGTACAATAGACCAGAAGTGGCCACAGTACAAGGGATTTAGTCCCACCCCACTAACAATAAAAAAAATATGATCCTAGTCCTATTGCAATTGAAATTGCTGTTGCAAATTTGAAAAGGTACAAATTGCCAGGTAGTGATCAAATACTGGCAGAACTCTTTCAACCAGGAGGTGAACCATTACGATCTGAGATCCATAAACACATTAATTCTGTTTGCAATAAGGAAGAACTGGCTGATAAGTGAAAGGAGGCTATTATTTTACTAATATACAAGAAGGATGATAAAACTGGCTGCAATAATTATCATGGGATATCGTTGCTATAAAGTTCATACAAAATTTTATCCAATATTCTTCTCTCAAGGTGAAGTCCATACATAGACGAAATTAGTATGATCATCAATCTGGGTTTCGACGCAACAGATCAGGTACTGATTAGAGTTTCTGCATTCGTCAGACTCTGGAGAAAGAAATGGGAGTATAATGAGACAATGCATCACCCATTCATTGACTTTGAGAAAACCTATGATTCAGTTAGGAGCAAAGACTTGTACAATATTCTCATTGAGTTCAGGGTACCCATAAAACTAATTAGGCTTATTAAACAGCGTGACTGGTTTCAAATTGGCATCATACATCCGTTACAGCAGCAGGATAGCACTCCAGGAATTTATTCCCACTAATTTCAGGATATTCCTCAAAATACCATGTTGTCTATCATATTTTCACACACACAAAAATAAGATTTTAAATTTTCATGGCAGTGATTCAGTTTGTAAAATTCTTGGGTGTAACCCCATGCAGACTTTTAGGTTGAGACCATAGGCTGGATCAGTTACATGTTCCTCCGAAATGTTGGTATCCACCTAATGATCCGTAACATTCACCTACGAGACCACATGGTGTACAACATAAGCAACATCTGAATTATTCAAGAAGATTTTAAAGATAAGTACCACAAAAAAGTTCGGGATTACTCATTTGACCACAGCTACACTAATTTGGAGGCACAATCCTTCAACCGCAATCCGGTGATGCTGCTGGCAAGAGATCCATGTAAGATGAATTTTAAAAATGTAATAGCGATTATAATTTTATAAAAATATATGTACTATGTAAGATCTGAGGCTCTTCACACCAGTGGTTATATAGAGGCCTGTCTTCTGGCATATAATGCTGTATAGCCTTCTAGAAGGCAATCGACATTTTGGAGGAACATGTCACCATCTTCAGGGCCGAAGAATAAGCCAAGCAAAAATCAGCGTGAAGGAGGTAGCAAGCAACACCGCATTATATCCCAGAAGACAGGGCTTTGCATGTATGTACTCGTGCTAATCTAATGTATATGGCGAAACAAAAGCATTCGTTTATGCATTGTCAAGGTATGAACTAGAATCTGTATTATGAGACTGTACTTATATTTCTTGCGTCTTCTCAGTGAATATCATTGGGCACAGGCGTTCTATATTTATACGACTCTTTGTTTCATACAAAGGTATTTCATACGCATAAAGCGCGCGCGCATAATATATCAAAGCTCATATTAATGCTAAGAGATCGCAGCACTAATGGTTATTGTCGCGCTATCTTGTCCATTGTGAACGAACTAAGAGCAATTGGAAAAAGAAGCAGTCGTCGAACGTCGTCGAAGTAGGACTGGTCGGCTGATAATGAGTGCTGCGGTTTCAGATTTATTAATTCTAATATGATTATTAATTTTTTAATAGTTGTGAATTACGTGACGAGACGTAAGCATGTTTTCATCACAGTGGTTATGTAGTGTCTAGTTAGCATAGTGATCTCGAAGGAACTGCCGCCTGCTCTTAGTGAGTGACAAATTCAGAATTCCCAATCGTTGGAGAAAGCGCTTTGGTGTATTACCATTTAAATTTATCTACAGAAAATGATGCTGATCTAATCGACCACGAATGGAAGTCATAATTCGGTTCCCATTAAAGTCATACGTGATCCAGTTTCTGGTCATGAAGGACAGAAGGTGTAACCTTGCTAATATGAGTAAATATAGTAACCGGTCATGCAAGATTTTTCTAACATGGAAAAGTTTCTGTTAATCACAGCTCGTGGCACCATTTGGCTAGTGTCAGTGTTTTCAAAACAGTACATATTCCTTTACTGTGGAAAATTCGTAGACCTACAGCATCCATTTACAATTATAACCAACGTAATGTATTCACGTTTATCAATATGAACCCCAGGACTCCAGTCGCATACATTTACAATTATAACCAACGTAATGTATTCACGTTTATCAATATGAACCCCAGGACTCCAGTCGCATACATTTACAATTATAACCAACGTAATGTATTCACGTTTATCAATATGAACCCCAGGACTCCAGTCGCATACATTTACAATTATAACCAACGTAATGTATTCACGTTTATCAATATGAACCTCAGGACTCCAGTCGCATACTATTTTTTTATTTTTCTAAATAGAAACGAATTTGGTGGAATGTGAAACCACATCACAGATGATGCTTCAACCTCAGCTGTGGTGTTTGGATCTTTAGTCTAAGAGCAGACCATAAGTAATATATATCTGGGACTTCCGGTGTCTTCTGAGGTACCGAGACTTGGCTTCTTTAGCAGATTAAGTATCCTGCCTTACATAACCCTGCACATGTGACTAAATTCAGATTTTGCTTTGGATACGAATGGTAGCCAAACATTCTACCTATTTAACCCCAGCCAATTCATCCATCTGTGAATTGCAAAATTAACTAAGATTATAATAAAGGAACTGTTGCTGTACTATTAATTTATAAACCAGGTCAGCAGGTCTGACCCTTAAATCTGCATCTTTTGTCACTGTGTACAATTTTCTGTTTTATTTTTTGCTTCTTGAGATCCAAGACATTTCCACTGCATATTATTGCCTCTAGTAGAAACATATGTTTCCTTTTTCAGAACAGTACAGCAAATTACTGGTTGTAAGTTTGACAAATTCTGCTCTTAGACATGTATTATAAAATATGTAGTGGATTAGTCTTACCTAGTTTAAACATTGTGTTCAGAATTAATCGTTCCTTCATTTATGGGATTCTTGTGTTCTCTTCTCTCTTGTTTGTACTCATGCTATGAAATTACATCCCCCACTGCCTTCCCTCATAGTGTAACCTATTTAACATTTATGTGCCTGTTTTGCATAGGATGTTGGGGTATACTGAGTTATTTTCTAGTTGTTTTATTTATAATGTGATGAGCCTGCCTGTAACCAGCAATAGCTCTGAAAGGAACCTCATTTCTACTTCATTGCTGAATTTGGGTTGGTTTAAACCCAGAATTATGATCTGTATGATACTCTGAGTATAAAAATCCAAATCAACAATCCGCAGTATAGAATTTTGATAAAAGATGATTCAGAATCACTAGATGTAGTTTGAATGTGATCATAGACTGCTGGTGTTCTGAAGGCTATAAAAGTAGGTGTTAGAGCTGTTTATTGTTTTTATCAACTTTTTATTAAAGCTGTCATCTCTGCAAAGTTGTCCAGTTGTTGTTGCAATATATTTATGTTTATATAAGCTACTAATGCCCCCAGCTGCAGGTTGCTGAGTGGGTTGTTATGCCCTGATGAAGTGGTCTGAAGACTTGAAGTTTTCATGTTTGTCCGATTCATTACAATTATTGTTTCAGATGAATGTGTCACTGCTGGCTTGGGTAGGGCTCATACTTGTACTCTGTCTCACAACCTTTGGACTGTGGTGGTGTGTCACCATGTCTGTATCAGTTCCTGTGTTTTTGGTTGGGTAAGTGTCTGTCTGGCCTGAAACTTTATGATTTTTAGAAACAATCCTACGTATGATCTATTGTGCACTGCTCAGGGGTTTTGAGAGTACAGGAATATCTTTGTGGTTGTTTTCATCGTAACAAAACAGCACTTATTTTTGTTGATTCTGTTCTTGGGTTATGTCATGTGGTTATGTCTCATGTTGCTGACATTTCAGAGGTACATGCTTCCTCCGTCTTCAGTGTTGATGTGTGTAGACTGGAGGCAGCATTTCCCATGGCCACATGATGTAACAACCCAAGAACATAATCAAAATTAATAATTAACCACCATGAAAGCCTGAAATAAGTAAAACTGTACTTGTTATAAGTGTTTCAGTTCTCATTCTTCTCCTCAGGCAAACTATGCCATAAATATATAAGTGTATTTAAGCTGTCCCTTTTGCTTAACTAATTAAGCACTACACCATGAAGGCGTATGTAGGAGTGGATGTATAGATCCACATTTTCTTGACTTCGGCACTAGTTGGAGGTGAGTGGTCAGCCCCATGCCCTGGCCGCTTTACCCCAGGGGAAAGAACCCCTATTACCCTTTGAATCGGAGGATGGGTGGACCCCAGAGCTGGTCTGAATGATGTGGAGAAGGGAAAATTTTTGACCCTACCAGGACTCGAACTCCAACCTCTCAGTCTTCCAGACTGTAGCCAGTCATTATACTGACTACACTATCTTGGCTCCCCTATTATTGGGGTTCATTAATAACATCAAAGCATGAAAGTGTAATGTACCCATTAATTTTTCTCAAGTATATTGTGCTTATTTCAGGGAATGTGTTTAGTACATTACATTTTTTGCATGTGAGCACTGTTGATGGTAGTCTTATAACTACAGTTTTGTTTCCAGAGGTCTTACATTCTTATATCTGAAGCATTCAGACTCCTCACAGAAATACTACACAGCTGTATACCGTTCTAGGCAAGAGTCTTACAAACCTGGACTAAGTAAGGTGAGATTTACTTCATTTTTGTGACCTCCCCAAAAAAGACCATAACAGGTTCAACATGAGATTGGAACTTGTCTGTTATACAAATAATTTCAAATTAGAATTCTTAATTAATGTTTTAGGTGAATCTTGTTCTTGTCTAAATTATAGAAATTTTTTGTTGTGGTTTTGATTTTGTTTAGAACTGAATAAATGGCTGTCCTGCTACATTGACATTCTGTATTTTTGACACTTTCTTGTTTTGGTGGGTTAGTAACAGTAATGTATGACTAACAGGTGGTGCAGCTTGTGGAAGCACCCCAGCCATCATGTAAAGCTGATCGCCGCCTCACTGGCTCACAAGTGATTGATGAGTCACTTCAAGAGATAATTGGTTATGTGCTTCGTGATTATGTTTCACCCTGGTATGATCGACTTAGTGCCAACGAGGAGTTTCCTCATGAGATCAGGCAGACTGCCCAGAAGGTTATCATCACTTTTGCTGGAAGGTAAAGTACACAGCCAATGTAAAGAACTAAATATACAATCATAAGTAATCAGGTGTCTGTGGATAATTTCACTCTTAAATGGTCAGGTGACTGTGACCCCACCTGTTTGTATGTGATATTCTTGGATTTTGCAGTGTTATGTATGATTACAATAAATAGTCAAACCTTCCTATCATCTTCCTTCATATTTTGCTGCTACTTCATGCTAGCCTTACCATGCTTTTGTCATAGAAGAACCATCTGGCTTTGTATAAAAATTAGTCATTGTGCTGGTTATAAGATACTGCTTGGTATAGTCTCAGCATATTTTTAATCTAAGCTGAAGGAAAGCAAAAATTCTACATGCCATTGGAGGTCATTGTCACGCTCTTCTTTTCAAGCCATATCATTCTACATGGGGAAATAAAAAAATGTTAATTATCACCCAGAAGAAACAGAGACACAGGTGCAAGAAATTGTGAGTTAGTCCTTCTCTACATGTGCCCCTGCAAGGCCACACATTTTCCCTAATGATGCATTAGCTGCTGGATACCTTGATCGTAGAAGGTCTCATTTTCACTGTTTAGGAAGTCCTCCACTGCAGAAATGACATCATTGTCTTGGGATGGCTTACCAGGAAGTGGCTTCTTTAGCCGTGGAAAGAGGAAGAAGTCCATCGGTGCCAGGTCTAGTGAATATGGTGGATGGGGGAAAATTTCATATCCCAAACTGGCAGCAAGTGTCATCGTAGCATGAGCAGCATGAGTCGGTGCATTGTCATGAAGAAGTCGCACACCTTTTCCCAGCATTCCGTGTCGCTTTTTCTTGATTTCCTCCTGTAATTTTCTCAGAAGGTTCCGGTAGTACTCACCACTGATGGTGACGCTCATTTTGCATGTAGTCAGTCATGATGACACTCCGCCGATCCCAGAACACGCTCAACATTACCTTTCCTGACAGTGGCTGGGATTTGGCCTTCTTTAGTGGTGGTGAGTCTGTATGTTTCCACTGCTTGCTCATTTAATTTGTTTCAGGGTCATAATGATAGACCCAGCAATAATCCATCATGATCAGGCGGTTAGAAATTCCAAGCTTCCGCCTGTACCGCAATTCCCGGTTACTCACTGAGAGATGGTCTTCCAGTTTGGTTCATCATCGACGTTTGCCTGTCCACAGTGAAAGCACCTCTTCCACCTGACCTCCGTGTCATATGATGGTACACCTTGTTGATACACAGTGGTCATTTGGTCGTGGATCTCCTTGGCAGACATCCCTTATAAATGTAGGAACTATCACAGCACGAGCCTTCATGTTCTCAATTGACATCACCATTTTGCTTCTGCCCCTTCTCTGTCCACTTGGCACGGGAAAATTTGACTGTTCTGCAAGCTCAGGAAATGGGTTATCTCCTATATAGAACGATATTTTGGAATTGTGATTTTCTCATGGTGATAATTAAAACATTATGACTTCCCATCATACATTTCTTGAATGTTTACCAAACAGTTCTCCTTTTTTTTCAGCTCATTTGTTTTCCACTAAGGGAAGGATATTTTTTTGTTTTGAAATATAAGGTGCTAAAACAGTATGTTTGATATTAGGAAAAATATTAACTCTAGAGAAACATAAAAATGACCCATTTTGACTGTGTAATTGTAACCCACTGGAGGTTCCATAGGTTTTGTCAGTATTGCTGGAGTTTTATTTTTGTCATAATTCATTAACTGGATGGACAGTGTGATGTCTTGTCATGTATAGATTGGGAAGGCTATATATATTCTGTATTGCGGTCACAGAGGTCTCAAGATTTTATGCCAAACTTGACAGAGTTAGAAGGATATGTTATGTATAAGACATCTGGTATTTTCACATAGTGAAATATTCATCTCTGGAAATATCTGGGTTTGAAAAACACACATTCCAGAATTTTTGCTCAAGGGTTGAAGAATGGAATAAGTTTTAAACATTTAGCAGGACCTTGATTTTCATGTGTGAAATTATCAGCACAAAGAAAGAAAATCTTGTTAATAAGCTCCAGTATTACCATGGATATTTAACTAACTCATGGAGATGAGCCGTTCTTGAGGAGCTGCCAGTTGGGCAGGAACTGAAGAACTTCCCAGCATTTTATGGAACCTGAAGGTTTATTACCATGTTCACAAGAGCCCTCCACTAGTCCCTGTCCTTAGCCAGATCACTGCAGTCCATACCACCTCATCTTGTCTCTGTAAGATCCATTTTAACATTATCCACCCACCTATATCATGGTCTTATTAGTGGTCTTTTTCCTTCTGGCTTTCCCGTCAATATATTCTGTGCATTCCTCTTCGCCTCCATTCTTGCCTCATGCCTGCCAATTTCATTTCCTTGACTCAGCTCCATGAAATTAATTAGTTAGTTATGAGAAAGGATATTGTATAATTTTGAATGAAATTGTTAACAGTGATATTCCATGATAATTACTACAGTTTTATTGGCCTTCTTGTAAATTGGTTTCCTATCCTTCACTAAGTTACTTCTAGGTTGGTAAACCTTCTATACATGTCTCTGATGTTGTTACTGTTTATTGCAAGCTCATTAATTTTGTCTTTCAGATATTCCCTCCTTTTACTCCTGAAATGCCTTCTGGCTTCACGTCTTATATTGTTCAATTTATCCCCATTTATTTCACTTGGATCCTGTAACCGCTGCAGTTTGGCTTGTTTCCTTTTATCTGGCAATTTTGAGCGTCTTTTATCGAACCATGGCTTATGCTTCAATTTGTAGTAACCTACGTTATCTTTGACAGAAAGTTTTATATTCTCTCTAATAGTTTCCCATGCTCTATTACTATCTGCCTCAGTGTCTAAGTTTACCAAAGCTGGCAACCTATTTTTGATTTCAGCACAATACTGCTCTTTCCCCTCTACCTCATTTGATTTCTTCAGATTGAAATTAGGAGGGATATCATTTCACAAAAACGAGTTTGAATAGCAGATTTGCTCTTGCCATGTTCTAACCCCTGTATTGGAGTCTCTAAAATTCTGTTCTCTCTTAATAAGATTAGAATAACATCAGTCTTGTTCAGTGTAACATTTTGCCAATTTATGGTCCTGGAGCAAAATGTGAATGGAGTGACACTTTTTTGGATTTGTTACCATGCATCAAATTTGTTAGTGTCCTCTACTATCTTGGGTTTTGATCACGTGTGTTGGATGTGAGGAATATGAAAAAATAATTTGAAGTACTCCAGCATTGTCCACGTTACTAGTATTAAACTATAATGCAGAAATACTGCAATTGCATTTGGCATCTAATGTTATATGTTTCCGATATCCTGCCAAGATTTTCATGGCAGCCCTCCTATTTGCATCTGTACATTTTCATGTGTTGTAGTATCATCTATGTCATCTTTGTCACTTAGTTTATGCTTTCCTGGAAGCACTAAGGAAGTGTAACCATCTTCAGAACTCTTCAGTCAGAATTGTATTCACTAAAAATGTAAATTGATGAAGCATTATATTACAGTATCTCAGTAAGGTTCTTGGGTTCATCATCTGTGTGAAACTACACCAAGGGGTTAGAAAACCCTAAAAGGATAAAATGATATGATATTAATATGGTATTTGATATTGATTGAGATCCATAATTAAAACACTTATTTGTCACTGGTTTTAAAATTGTATTAAATAAATATACATTACAAATCCTATTTGGTAGAGCTACAGGCTGGCTGGCCACAGTAAATTCCTGGCAGAGATTCTTTTCTTTATTTCATCTGGAATGGGTAAATTGTAAATATAGGGTCTCCTCATTATATGCAAGTTTCAGAAATGCTGTTTCATTTTAATGCAGTCACCTAATTTAGACTGATTTCGATCAATAGCACTAGATATAATGTGAATTTCTTCCTGACCAATTAAGAGATGCAAGGAGAAGGGGTAATAGGGTATTGTTTGGGTGCTGGAGTAGGAACATGAGGGGACAAGGAGAAAATATGTTTGATTTATGCAATTTCAGCCTTTGCAACCTTTCTTTGGAACACAGCTGCTGCATGAATTGGGTACCTTTACCCCAAATATGTAGGTTTTTATAATGTGCATGTTAACAGAATGAAAGAAGTAGATTGGATTCCATATCTCACAACTCGATTGGTTGATGATGCTGCCTCACATCTACGGTTGTTTCGTCAAGCACGTGCAAAGATGAAACAGCAAAGGTCAAGACACAAACAGCAGCCTTCTTCAGAAATTCGACCCTCCATGTCAACAGCAGGAACTACAGAGTCAGGTAAGATGCTTCATGGTACAGAATCTTTGTTTCAGCAGTAATAGATATTTGCTTGATTAAGGGATTTCCGCAGAGTTCAACACAAAGGTCAGACAAGAATAGAAAGGTATATCCAGTGGGATGCACATATTTTCCAAGTACATTCCATGTGATTTTACATAGCTCATTGTAAATAAAAGTTGTAGTTCTCACTGACATCTGTGGTTCGTATTTGTATCAGTCTTTTGTACAGAGATGAATTTTATGTAAGCATCACATAAAGTAGGAGTATATAGTGACAGTTTTGCAAAAAAATGGCAGAAATATACTTGTATTTGCAAGGAGAAAATCCAGAGAGCCACTAATGAACTGCATAATATAATTAATTAATATGATATGAAAAGTTCCACCACAGAAGAGAACTAACAGAGTTAGAGGGAAAGAGAGTAAAAGAGCAGTAATTTCTCAGATAAAATGAGGCTTTGGACATTTGAGGAGTTCAAGTTATTCAGGCTCTAATGTAGGCCATGAGAGATAATAATACTTCATAGATTTCAACAATTTTATGGAACTTTAAAGTGAACACTATAAAGGAAATGTCAAAAGCAAACCTTTTTTAGAGTTCTTATGCTTTTATATGGATCCAAAAGTTTGATGTTAGTGGAGGAGGGAATGATAAAAGTGAGACAACAGAAATGTATATCCCTGCAGGATAACAGTGACAGAGCATAAATGTAATGAAGACGGAGAACTGGAATTGACTCCATGGTTTTAGTCTGCAAGCACACTATACCAACTGAGTGACTGCTGCTTGACAGCGAAGTTAGTTCCAACTTTAGCAGATAGAGGGCATTGTGTGGTCAGTACAATGAATCTCCATGGCCGTTTATTTCGGTTTTCTAGACCGTACCCGCTATTTCCTTCAAATTGCCCCTCAGTTATCCTCACGAAGCTGAATGGACCCTGTTCCAGACCCACTACTTCTCAGAAAATCTGATGCGCTGAGAATATAATGATATAGTAAAGAAGTTACACAAAAGGACAGATATAACATTTGGAAAGAATGCTCGAAAACTGTGTATTGAAGCTGCTTTCTCAGTATAAATCAAAGGATAGAAGGTACAAAAGAATGTCTGACAAAAGATGGAACTGTAATCCATGTAACCAGGTCGGGTCATGAAATTAATCTGTAATACCAGTGATGATGTAATGAAGGATCATGCTAGGCTGACATATACTGAAATAAAATTTGACAATAACTTTTGATATGTGATATTTAGTTGAAATTTGTTCATTAGTTTCACTGATGAATCATGTGGACTGATAGACAAACCTTCCCTATTGTGCATTCATTTCATGTACTTCCTGTAATAAATATATGAAAAGCCTGGAATTGGAACTTATGGTATTTGGGACAGGAATTCTGACCTAAAAGTTGCCTTACAATTTTTTAGTCACACCAGTTGACATGTTGCCAGCAGACAGAGATGAAAATCTTGTTACCTGATTCAGTTCTCAAATTGTTTTTCTGATATTAATAAAACTTTGTATAATTAACCTACACTTACTTACTCATGAAGCTGAGCCCTTCTGGAGGAGCCGCCAATTCTGCAGGTACTCAAGAATTTAACCAGCATTTTGTGGAACTCGAAGGTTCATTACTGTGTTTGCAAGAGCCCTCCACTGCTCCATATCCTGAGCCAGATCAATCCAATACCATCCCATCCTGTCTCTCTAAGATCCATTTCAATATTGTCCACCAACCTATGCCTTGGTCTTCCCAGTGGTCTCTTTTCTTCTGGCTTTCCCACCAATATCATATATGCATTCCTCATCTCCCCCATTTGTGCTACATGCCCTGCCCACCTCTTCCTCCTTGACTTGATCATTCTAATTATTCTTGGAGAAGACTGCAATTTATGAAGCTCCTCATTATGCAGTTTTCTCCAACCTCCTGTCTCTTCATCTCTCTTCGGTCCAAATATTCTCCTCAACACCTTGTTCTCAAACACCCTTGGTCTGTGTTCCTTCCTTAATGTCAGAGACCAAGATTCACACCCATACAGAACCACAGGCAAAATTATAGTTATGTATATTCTAATTTTTATGTTTTTGGACAACAGACGAGAAGACAGAGTTCTGGACTGAATGGTAGCAAGCATTACCCAACTTCAGTCTCTTAATTTCCTCCTGAATCAGGTTTTGTTCTGTTATCGCTCCCAAATATCTGAATTGTGCCACATTTTCAAAACATCTCTTTCCTATCTTTCTATCATGATTTTGCCCTGCATTTTGGTGATGAGACAGTAACATGTACTTAGTTTTAATTAACCTACACTAAAGGTTGTTAATTAAGATGAAAATTCAAGCATTGCTTCTTTCGAATTCCTACTCTGAATAGGGGGAACGTGGTAGTGCAGTTGGTTGAGGCACTATGCTACAAGCCGGAAGGTCATTTTTAGATTCCCTTTGAAGTCATTGGATTTTTCAATTGACCTAATCCTTCTAGCTGCACTATGGCCCTGAGGTCGACTCAGCCTGTAATAGAAATATGTACCAGGAATCTTCCTGGGGCTAGAGGGCAGCTGGTGTGTAAGGCTGAGAGCCTCATCACCATCTGTGAGCCAATTGTCTGGAAATTATGGGAGCATTGACTTCTCACAACAGTATGGGCCTCCATGGCCTGTTACAGGGATACCTTTTTTTTTTAACATTCTCCATAGAAGGTTATGGATGTTAGTCCAGCAAATTAGATTTTGAACTGCACTGACATCACTGTTGTCAACAAATGAAGGTGAACATACATCTGTGTTGCCAGTATTTTAAGATGACTAGTGTTTTCAAGAATCCACTAGTCTCATTGATTTAAATGTGTTTATTGTATGTTGGTTTAGATTCAAAGAGAGGGGAGCGTAGTAGTTCAGCTGGTAGACAAGTGGAATCATCTGCACCTGTTACTAGTGAAAGTAGCATGGGAATAACAAATAATCCATCCAGCGGAGTCAAGCCTCCTGTTGACTTAGAGACATTGTTCTTTGACCTGGAGGTCACCATGGAGGACAACCTGCTGTGTCATGATCTAGTCTGCACAGAGAAAGACAGCGAGAGACGTGAGTAGTTAGTTCATTACTTAATCATTCAGAGCACAGAATCGGCCTTATTTAAATTTAGCCTTTCACATTTTACCAGCCAAACTAAAAACTAACTTACTGCTCACTGGCTTACTGCTCTCTCGCACTCTCTCATATTCTGTCACTTGTTTCCCTAATAATAATATCCTTCTGTCTTTGCTAGCAAGACTGTAGCTGCTCATTTTTAATGGTACCACTTGCAGAGTACCTGCAGGATGTGAGTGAAGTCTTGCTGTTCCTGTTGCTCCCTGTGGATGACTTCCATTGCAAACCATTGCGCTTCCTACTGAGGGAACTTCTAGTCAGCACTGTCGTCTTACCACTGTTTGGGCTTATTTCAGACCCTGATTACATCAATCAGATCATCATATGGCTAGTGAGTTAAGTCTCTTGATTTCTTAATTTGTCATCTGAATTTTCAAGCTACTTTCATTTTCTGATGAAAGGAAATCTTATGGTACCATCATGTGGTTTTGAGTGTGTGTTCCCATTTGTATGTTTGCCCAGCCTCCCNGCTGCCACAACCTAAGTTTAAAGGGCCGTAGGATAAAGGTTAATAACCTTGGAACCAGTAGATGGATTTTATGAAGTTTGGTATGAATATCATGCCACTGGAGGCTGCCCTGTATTTATACTTTTTTTTTATTGCTAGTGGGGTGGGACTAAGTCCCTTGTACTGCGGCCACTTCTGGCCTATTGTACCAGCCCCAGATGATAGGTGAGGGTGATTGTGGAGCAGTTGGTGGAATGAAGATTGGCAGGGGAAACTGAAGTACTCAGAGAAAATCTGCCCCAGTACCACTTTGTCCACCACAAAGCCCACCTGACAAGACCCGGGATTGAACCCGGGCCGCCACGGTGGGAAGCCAGCGAGTAACCGCTTGAGCTATAGCACGGCCCTTGTATTTATACTTTCTAAGTACAATACTGTAATGATAAGCATGCAGACTTCTGTTATTGAAGCAGCACTAGTGTAACTTCATAAAGGTAAAGTTATCCCTGTGCTTAATTAATTAAGCACTGTACCATGAAGATGTATGGGCTAGTGGATATATAGATACACACTTTCTTGACCTTGGCACTAGTTGGAGGTGAGTGGTCAGCTTCATGGCCTGGCCACTTTACCCCTGGGGAGAGGGCTCCCAGTACCTATTTGGATAGGAGGCTGGGTGGGACCCAGAGCTGATCTGAAATGCATGGAGAAGAGAAAATTCTTGACCCTACTGCAACTTGAACTTTGACCCCTTTGTCATCAAGCCCATAGCCAGTCGCTATACCAACTGCACTATGCTGACTCCTAGTGTAACTTCATATAGGGGTCTAAATGCTGTGTGGCAATATGTGTTCAAAATAGAATATTCTATTGAGATCCTTTATGTAGGTTTTAAAACAACATGGTGGCCATGCAAACTCTGTATTTAAATTTCGCTTTCATAGCAGTAGTTAGTGGGGCAATGCAGATAGTATGTAAGATTTAATATGACAATAGGTTATAAACAAGCTACATATACAGAGGGGTCCAAAAAAAATGTACTCACTGTTTGATAGTCAATATCTTTGGAACAAAATGACATGTAGTTACAATTCTTGCGCGGTAGTGTAGTGTAATGTTTTCCCAACAGATGGCGAAGGTCACATGAGTCACGTAAGTGTCATGCCATGTGCGCGCTGTGAGCAGAAGACAGCAGCAACAATGACTGAAAGGTTGTTCTTCGAGCAACGCAAGGCTGTATGGAAGTGGTACTGGAAGTACAAAAACATTAAAGAGGTACAACGACAATGGCAGAATGAGTTTGGAACTCAGTCACCAATACGTCAAACAATTGCCCATATTGGGGTTAAATTTGAAGCCGACGGTACTGTTCATGATGCGCATAAGCAAAGATCCGGACGACCACAGGTAGTAACAAGTAACCGTAACTGGTCAGGTGTATCTCGATATGCTTCAGACATCAATTTTCCCTGCCATTTGAGAGCCGTTTGGAGATGAGAGATTTTACCTGCAACAAGATGCTGCTCCACCTCACTACCATCAAGATGTCAGGGCGTACTTGGGTGACACTCTACCTGGACGATGGATAGGTCGAAGAGGTGCTACTGAGTACCCACCACGGTCTCCAGACCTAATACCTCTTGACTTCTACCTATGGGGAACCTTGAAGGATGAAGTTTATCGACAAAAGCCAGCTACACTGAACGCGTTACGAGAAACCATTGAAGCGTCATGTGCAGCCATCACACCGGACACACTGACAGCTGTAGTTCACGCAGTAGTTCAGCGGCATTGACGCTGTTTAGCCACTGATGGTGGTCACTTCTCTCTCTCTCTCTCTCTCTCCACGCAAGAATTTTAACTACATGTCATTTTGTTCCAAAGATATTGACTATCAAAGAGAGAGTACATTTTTTTGGACCCCTCTATATATATATATATGCTCAAGCATGCGCATGTTGTTGTATGCTACAGATTATACAAGGTGTATTGGAAAGTTCCCGGGACTGTTATTGTTGTAACTGCCTATGTGAAAAAAGATGGAGACCAAGGTCACACTTTTGCAAGCCTATTGCATCAGTCTACCACATGACACCCTACTGTGAACATGCATTGTATTTACACAAGTGCTTTTTTGACTTCATGTTTCGTTTTATCCATGATGGGTGGCAAAATTGAGCAACATGTCTTCTGCATGAAGCTCAGTAAATCTGCTACCAAAACCCTTGAAATGCTTTGTGGGACTTTTGGAGAACATTCTTTAAGCTGGATAGCAGATTTGAATGGCATTCACGTTTCGAAGGCAGTTGAGTGTTAGTTGATGATGGACGTTCAGGGTGACCAAGCACCAGCAAAACAACAGAAGATGTTGAAAAAATTCAAGAAGTCATCTGTGAAGACTATTGTCGAACAATCCATGAGCTTAGAGACACTGTTGGGATTAGTTATGGAATTTGCCTGGAGATCTTAACAGAAAATTTGAACATGCACTGCATTGCTCCTTCATCACAACAATGCATCTGTCCACACGTCCCTGAAAACCACGGAGTTTGTGACTAACAGCAACATTTTTATCATTCCCTATCCTCCCTGCTTGCTGGACTTAGCCCCGTGTAATTTTCCTTTGTTTCTGAAATTGAAAATGAAACTGAAGGGACAATGTTTTGAAACAGTGTCTGACATCCAAAAGGAATCACAAGTGGTAACATTAAGGAAAATGACTTCCACAGTGCGTTTGAAGTGTGGAAAAAACGATGGGATTGTTGTATATCTCACCAAGGAGACTATTTTGAAGGAGATGGTAACCAAAATTGAATAAGTTAAGCCAAAATTTCTCTTTTCACCTAGTCCAGGAACTTTCTGATATAACCTCATAAACTGGGCAGTTTTGCATATTTCTTGAGGTTATTTCTGACATATTTAGTGTGGTGAGAATGTGTCCACTGAACTGTACAATTATCAATTTATAACCTCAGATAGATTCACTATTTTGTGGCACTGTAAAAATAGGAAAGTAGAAATTTGTATAGTATGTCACAAGTAAAGCACTTCATTAACATTTAATCATGGAAACTGCTTTATTATAATGATAGCTATTGTTATAATTTACAAGCGTATGTGTAATATAAAATTTTCATCATGTTGATTGGTATGTCAGACATATTTTTTTCTGTCACTAATTATTGATACATATGCAGACATATATATGGGGAATCATATGATGTGACGGTTTGTGCTGTCTGATTTCAACAGTTGTGATTAATAAAGTTAATATGGACTTCAGGTATGAAATTTCATCAAAATCTATTCATTTGTAATGGAATTGTTTTGTACAGATGGACAGACATGCCAAAGGTAATATGGATGTTTGCATATACACTTTCATGGGTTATTTAGTATACCAACAAGTTTTAATGTCTTATCTCCCCATAGCTCTTCAAAATGTCTGATGTGAATATTGCAGTGTAAGGAGATTCCTATGACAAGTGATGTGTTCCTCACCGCATTGCGAGTCACTGACAGCCAAGAGGAGCTCAATGCAACAAGGGATATGGTCAGCAGGGAAATTGCTCAGTTGGTAAGACACTTAATCCACAGATCAGAATTTGGAAACATATAAGTGTCATAGTCAGAAAAGCTAGTTTAAATGTTTAGACTGGTCATCTGGTTTGTGACACCATGTCATCTGATAGATGGTTACCAATGTTTTGGTGGAACATGCCACCTGTGTCTTCAGGGTAGAACTCTGCCATGAAAATAGAGGCAGCATGTTACTCCAAAACATTGATAACCACCTACCAGACTACATGGTGTCACAACCAAGAAGGCCACCAGTCTAAATATTCACCACTGTGAAAACCTCAAGCCTCCGTGAAATAATGTTGGTCAGTGCAGATTAGATATGGCTGCACTCTTGAATGCAGAAGGTACTGTTGCGGCAAAAGCTTTGGTTGTGGGATTATTGAGTTTCCTGATCTGTACCTACCTATAGACACAGAGAGAGGTCCTCTGAGATCCATTGTGCTACTCACAATGGTAAGTCAGTGGTGGTAATGCCAGCTAGCATAGGATTCTCTATTTGTATTCTAAAGGTACTGGGTTAAAACATTTTCTGGGCTACCAGCTATCTTGGTATGTTCTGTTTTAGCAATTTTTATTATCTGTGGGTAAATAATACTTTTAAATAGGCCATAACCACTTCCTTCCAAATTCATACCTACTCAGTATCTGTTATTGCTTTTTCATCTTATTCATTGCTGTACTAATTTTTATAGTTGGAACATTGTTACTAAGTAATATTGCTTAGATTGTTTCTCTTAATGATACCAGCCTGGATTTGACTTAACAAAAGTGAAGGTTGAGGTTGGCAGCAGAAAAATCTTTATTTGTTGCAGCTGGTCTCAAACCTGCGATCTCATGCAAAATAGTGCTTAAGTCATAACCAATGGTTGCCCACCCTCTCCCCACTTCCCAAAGCCAGTACTGCTGTTAACACCACACCATGAAAATAGAGCTCCATGCTTTCTTCATCATGATATTAGATAGACTGAAGTTGATAGTCTCATGCTCCATCACATTTTTCCTGTTCACTGAGTCAGTAGTCACTGAATAATCAATTAAATTGGATGCATGAAATTAATTTTTATGGACATTTTATGCAGAATCAAAAGTATTGTCACGTGTTGGGTGTATAACGCAACAAATAACTTCACGCCTTACTGGATGTAGCGAATTTTATTTCACATTCGCTCTTACAATCACACAATTTACAGATCCACGATTACTGCCATAGGCAGTATCACAAATACCACACTGCAAATGCTGGTTGACTGCCTGGCTGACTCGTAACTCATAACTCGAGAACTTGAGAACTAACTGCTGGCTAACTTGGAACTCTTAACTGCTGCCTTGAGAACTTGAGAACTGTCTGCCGGCTAACTTGGAACTCATAGGCTGCTGTCTTGAGAACGCGCTTCGGCGGCTGATACACTTTCACTGACTGCTGTGGCTGTGTAGTTCCCGTATATAGTCGCAGCGCTTGCCTGTTATGTAATCGGCACTGCTGTTGCCTCACGCTGTGTTGCGTCACCGCCCATTGCATGCCTCGTCATAGTAGGAAGCAGTGCCATGTAGCCCAGGGGGGCTACGTCACCGTGGCCAGAGCTGCCACGTCACTGCTGGGGGAGGGAGGGTTTGTCCTCCATTGCCCAACATGTCACAGTATATTCCACCATGTCTCCCTCTCTTTATTAATTCATTCATCCAGTTATTTATATATTCAGTTTTGTGAGTTGTGAGTTATGAATGATTTATTAGTTTGTAAAGGCAGTCAATGATACAGTGTTGTCTGGCACCTTTGTTTTGTCACAGAGATCACGAGACTCTGGCAGAGAGGATGATGCCTCTGTGAAGCAACAGCTCAGCTCTCTCCTTTACGTGCGTAAAGTGATTGAAAATCGGCTTCACCGTCTCAAGGAAGGGGCAGACTCTGACTCGGTCGGTAAGTTACATTCCACCATTGTCTAATACATTTCCACGTCCGATAATCTATATAACTGTATATAACCTGTGTTTCATTAGCTTAGGTTCTACATATATTATCTTTGATCATCGTTTTGTAAATCTTATAGCATCACCACCTCCACTGCAACCACCACTGCTGCCAACTCCACCTCCCGCTACCACATCCGACACTGCTGCCGCCATTAGCACCATCTCCATTACCACTACCCCAGCCACCACCATCTCCACTCACACTGTTTCAACCATCACTGCTGCCACCATGCAACCACCAGCCCTGTGCCACCTCCCACACCATGGCCATCCTCTCCTTTTGATATACTGTATTATGTAATTAATGTGACATAATTTTTATCAGAATATTATTTAGGATTAAATTATTTCAATATCTTTGATGTTGGCACATTTTTCAGCTGTAACTCTTGCTTTCTGAAACACTGCACTAGACTTCTGCGGCTGGCTCAGTGGTCTAGCAGTTAGGGTACTAACTCATTAGAGTTGACCTACAGTGCTGTTAAGTGATCTATAAGGCAGTGTTATGAATAATTAGTCTCATTGTTAATTGCCAACCAGGTGATGTGTAGTAACGAGGAATATTTTTTTATCAGATCTGCCATCACACATCGACTGGAATCGGCTGCTTACACCGGGTACCAAGCTTTTCTCACTCCCATTGGATGTTGTGCTCAAGAACAACATTGCTTTATCCTACTTCATTGACTACATGTCCAGCATTGGAGCACAGGCATACCTTTTCTTCTACCTTAATGTGGAAGGTAAACAGCCATATTAATTTTATATTTTGAACGTTATATTGCATTTTCTGAATTTGTTGTCTTGTTGCAAGTATCATTTGTTTAGCTGTAATTATATGTTGTATATTAAAATAATCAGTGTTTCTTCTGGTCTGAATCTTAATTTCCGAAATATTTTAACTGTAAACTGTTTTCCCTCCCAGTTCTGTCTTTGCATGTTTTGCTGTAACCCTTCTTGTCATTATCAGTATTCAAGTTTCCTCATGTTTTATAGTATACATTATTGCCAAAATATGTGGTAAGCTTTAATATACAGGAAGGAATGTTTGGTTTAAAAAAGATTTATGAATTAAACAGAAGAAGCAAAGTCATATGATACAGGTCTCACCCAGATGGGTGCCTGTTTATTATCAGAAGATCAGTGGTTGATGCACCCAGGACTGGAAGACCTGTTGGTATGAGAACAAAGAAAGCCACTTCCCCCCCCCCTGGCACTACAGCCCCAGTGGGCCTAGGCCTACCTCCATGAACTTCTCCGTTCACTTCGGTTTTTCTAGATCTTACGCGTATGGTAGGACTCCTTGGGCGAGTGATCAGCTCATCACAAGGCCTCTACCTGTAAAGAAACACAGAAAAACGCACACAAACATCCATGCCCTGAGTTGGATTCGAACCCACAATCCTGGCTTCCAAGCGAGCAAAGACAATGCATGCCTTAGATCGCTCGGCTACCATGACCGGCATAAGAAAGCCACTTAGCTCAGGCTATTTTAATAGCCTGTGGAAGTCAATTGAGAAGGCAATAATAAAACTGGGCTTTGCTTGAAGATCCGTACAACACACTGAGTATCAATCTCGATATAAATGTTCTGCCGAATTTGATGTTCTCTCAGCAGTGGCTATGAACACTTCTGGCATCTAGGATATAACATCATTTAGTCTAGTGAAGGTCAGTCATCATTATGGGGGAACACCTTGCTTACCTCTTCAGGATCCAAGAGTAATCCAAGGAAGAAACCAGAATGAAGCAGGCAGGAAGCAGAGCTGAAGATGGAGGTGTTGTGTTCTTCTGAGATGTCAGTTGACTATCACTGGACTATTTGGCGTTGTATCCCAGAAGACAAAAAATGTTCAGTCTAAGTTTGGTTCATGAACTTCTTGAAGATGATGCAGATAGCAACCAGCAATTTTCTGAACTTCTCATATTGCCATGAAAAAATGTGGTATGATGTAGCAAATTTTGAACTGTCTCGTCACATTAACAGATGCAACATTGTCAATGAACCTTACCGCCATCTTTGAGCCGATTATCTAGATAATGTGAGACCCTCAACATCTTACAACCCTATGGGCCTTCACGGCCTGGTACAGGGATAGCTTAACTTTGCTTTACTTTTTTACATTGTCAGTGAAACTCTTGAACCAACATAAAGTATCTATATGGAGTGCTGTTTCTCAGTTGGTTTTAAGGAACAGTAACTCATTGGAACTGCTTGCAGACTCTGAATGTGTGGGGTACCTGGACTACAGTCATATGCTAACTTCAGAGACTTGTGCTTCTTGCAAGATGAAGCACATACACATTTTGCAAATACTTCTCACTCTTTTTTTTTAATTAAACTGTTCTTCTTGTAGAATGATAAGGAAGAGGATGCATTGACTAGTGGCTATGATCTCCAAATAAGATATACATGAATAAATCTGTGAATATGACTGAGCTGTTAGAGTACATTGAGGATATGTTACACAGTCTTGATGAAGACA